GCTTAGTGGTAAAGGGCTTGCCCAGCATGCACAAAGTCCTGGATTCCATTCCACAAGAAAAAAGAAAAATAAAAAGTGAAAAACCTTCCAGAAGCTGGGGAGAGGCATGGTACAGATTTCCTTTCAGATCTCTTAGGAGGAACCTCAGGAGGCTCACATGATGGGCCTACACTTCTAGGATCTCCAGGCTCTAGCACTGTGAGACTGTGGTACTTTGTCCCAGCAGCCCTTGCCAGCTAACATGTCTTCCACCTTGAATCTTCTGTGATCTTTTGTAATGGTAGAAAATCAGCCAAGTGCTTTTCTTTAGCATCTAGGCTTAAAGTTTTAGTACACAGGTTCCAAAAAAAAAAAAAAAATCTCCCTTTCAGATGAACAAATGTTTGCCACCTAAAACTGGATGGCCCCAGAATTCTGGAAGTCACTTCAGCTTTGGGTAGCTAGAATGTGGGCAGAGAAGTCTGGTGAGGATATGGGGTGTGGCAATGGCCAGTGGTGAAATGCAAGGCCTGGCACATACATGGTGGCTTCTGAAATCCTTTACGCCACCTGGAGAGACTCACAAGCGACAGCGTGCCAGAATTCTCCTTTTTCTTGGGATCCCGTTTCCTTGTTATGGCTTGAGTCTGAAAAGCCCCCAACAGGCTCATGGTTTGAGTGCTTGTTTCCCCAGCTGGTGGCGCTATTTTAGGAGGCTGTGATAGTAGGGGGTGAGTGGGATCTGGATGGCAGAAGCAGGCCACTAGGGGTATGCCTTTGAAGATCGTACCCTTGCACTTGGTTCTGTCATGGTCCCTGCCTTCTGGCTAGTTACTATCTGAGTTTCCACGACACATTCTGCCACGTTACCTGATGCCACAGACCCAGTCTTTTTTGCCCTGTTCTCCCTACCATGATGGATGGAAATCCCCTGAAGCCACGAGTCCAGATAAATCCTCTGGAGAGTTAATGCTGTAAGGTGTTTGGGTTAGACCAAAAGGGACTTAACACACAGGGTTTCCCTCTTCTCAAATCCGTGTGTATTTGCAGAGTAGATGTGATTCGATGGCCCATGGCAGGGGTGTGTCTGACAGATAGCACTGTTTAAGTCAGTCACCATGACAGGCTGGGGAGATGCCTCAGTTGTGAAGTGCTTGTCAAAGAAGCACGATGACCCGTGGTTGATCCCCAGGACCCATGTAAAGCTAGGCATGGTGCCACACACACTTGTGTTGCCCGATGCCAGGGAAGCAGAAACAGGAGGATCTCTGGGGCTGGCTGGCTGGCTGGCCTAGCCCACTGAGTGAGGTCCAGGGCAGTGAGAGTCCTGGTCTCAAAGGCAAAGATGAACACTGACTGAAGAATGTCACCAAAGCTTGTCCTCTGGCCTCCAGTCACACACACCTTTATACATACACACATGTGCCCACATGCATGCGTGCTCACATGAAAGTCACTGTGAGACTCAGATGGCCACCGCCAGCCTGGTGTGACCCTTGGCTACTGTTCTCCCCACCTCCTGGCCCAGTTTGGCTGTATCCGCACCCCAGGTTCTTCCTGGGCTGGATGGCTTTCTCAGAAGGTCTGTCCTTCCCTGCACTGCATCTGCTTCCGGCTTAAAGCCCAGGACCACTGTGTGATCCAGTCAACTTCCCACCTGACCTCGAGCTAACACTTCACTTCTATGTTTGCATTGCTCTGGTCCTGCAGGGGCAGCCAGCATGTTAGTTCTAGGGCACAGTTTTGGAAGCCATAGCAAACAGACACATGTTTGAGCTATTTGTTTATTTTAGGGACAGTGTATTGCTATGTTGTTCTGGCTGGTCTTCACTTTCTATGTGCTTTAGACTGATGTGGAACTCACAGAGATCCACTTGGCTTTGCCTCCTGAGTGCTGGAATTAAAGGTGTGTGCCGTCACTTGGCCTGTGTTTGAGCATTTTGAATATAATTTGAAGTAGATACCATCTAATAATTCAGGTCTTTGAAAGACCTGTCGTTGTTAGACTGGAGTCAGGCTGTGGCATCATTAATGTCTGGTTCTTGGCTGGGTTGGGCCTGTCAGCAAAGAGGACAATATTATAGGTGCCAACTCCAGCATGGTGGCTTTGAGTCACCCTTCCTTTGTCCCATGTTCTCGCCCCCACAATTTTCTGCTTTATGCAGTTGAACAGATAGATACCCAGTCTTCCTTCTGCCACTTAGCACTCCTCCTCTTCAGAAAAGGTCTCATGCAACACACACTGGCCTTGAACTCATTATATAGCTGAGGATGACTTTGAACTCCTGTTCTTCCTGCTTCTACCTCCTGACCGGCACACATCTTCTCACCATGGCTTCTATGCTCTGCCACTCTCAAGGGATGCTGTCTTGAGAGATCTGATTCACACAGTAGTGTCATGCTCCAGAGGTTCAGATGGTCTGCTGTTGGACATATGGACAAAGCTGTGCCCCATGTGGCCTGACATTGCTGGTCCCTTTAAGCTTAGACATGTGTCTGGGGTGTTGTCCAGAGGCATGAGGATTCTCTGTTGTAGACTAAATCTCTTGATTCTTCAAAAATAAGGATGACGCTGTTTATTTTAAAGCAGGCTCATTAGCAGGAATCTAGACCCTGCTGTAAGAGTCTTTTCTTTATTTCAGAGCCATGGCTTTGAGAAGACAGGAGCCAATGTATTGCCAAAGGACAGGAGATACATGCTCTTGGCTCTGGGAAGTCTGCAGCATCAGCAACCTAAGATTGTTTTAATTTTTGGCTATTTGGTATGCGTTGGGCGGGATCTTGGTCTCTTCAGATGATGGGCACAGTGCAAGGGCAGAACATTACTGCTACAATTGGGGGAAGATCACAGCCAGGGTGGCCTGGAGATTGCATTTAGATTTATATTTCATTTCCTCTTTGCCCAACTATAAGTAGAAGTACCCAAGAGCATCAGGGAGTCTGGCCTCCTAGGAAGACAGAATCTGCTGAGTGTCTCTGTAAGACGGGAATGTTGCCAGCTAGGGACACTGGAATGCTAACTGCTCCCCTGTTTTCCTCACCCATGCCACCTGTGGCAACTACTAAGCCTATTGCTTTAATTGTGTTTGGTCTCAGCTTATGGATACAGGTGTACCCATGTCACCCTGTTACTGACATCAGTGCTATCATAGCAGGATTGATATTTGTGTTATAACCAAGTTTTAAATATATATATATGTTACATTATAACACCTCTTCCTCCTGACAAAGTTATTTCTAAGATTATATTCTTTTGTTGTTGTGGGCTACAATGCTATGGTTTTTTTTTTGTTGTTGTTGTTTTGTGTTTTTTTTTCCCTGCTGCCATGCTCCCCACCATGACAATAATGAACTAAACTCTGAAACTATAGTCACGCTGCTAATTAGATGCTTTTACTTTTGTCATGATGCCTCTTCACAGCAATAGAACAATGACTAAGGTAAAAGCGGGCACCAGGGACTGGAATATTGCTGTGACAGACCTAACCATACTATTGAAGAAATACAGCCTTTGAGACTTTGAACTAGAAAAATGGTTACACACTTTAAGTGGTGTTCCATGGGCCATAGTAAGAGAAGCATGGAAGACAGGTGCTGAGAGCAATGTAGATAATGAGAGCTGATTCAAGAAGTTTCAGAAGGGAAGAATATAATAATACATGGCATAGACAGTGTTCTTGTGATATTTTAACAAAGAATGTGGCTCCTTTCTGCCCTTGTCCTAAAACTCTGCCTGGACAATGCTATGTTTTGATCTTTGTATACATATAGAAAAAGTCCATCAAGCTAATTAGTGTTTCCATCACTTGATCAACACCTTTGTGGTGAGAATGTCAAAGACAGTCTCTTCTTAAGCAATATCTTCCTCCTCCAGCCTAGAGGGAGCTTTGCTTTCTTTGAGCAGTCTCTCCCCTTTGTTCCACCCCTCTTCTTGTATGCCCCCCCCCACCGCTGGAAACAGTCTTTCTGCATGTCTGACTTGTTGAAACCCCACCTGTAAGTATTGCACCTGTCTTTGGGGCTTTGACTTGTACAATTTAGCTTCATGAACCTCAGTTTGTCTACTCATATTGTCTTGAGTATTGAAAGGTCCTTTAAAAAAAGATTTATTTTTTAAAATTACATGTATATGTGTCTTGTAGGGAGGGTGTGTGTGTGTGTGTGTGTCTGTCTGTCTGTCTGTCTGTCTGTCTGTTGAGAACTCTTAGCAGTTTTCGTAAAATAACATACTTTTCTGTATAAAGCATAAAATCGGAAAGAACTCTAAACTCAGGTATTTCCTTCGTTTCTACAAGATGGATGTTTATCTGCAGGACAGGTCAGTAATGTGTGCTTCATGTCATTTGGATGAGGTCTGCCATTTGCAAGAATATCAGATTTCTTGCTCCCACAGGACATTTTCACCCCAAATCTCACCTCAGAAACAAGGAAGGGCCAGACCTCTAAGTTGGTAGAGGTAGCATGGCTGCAGAGGATGATGAGCTGACGTCATAGTGGGTCTTGTAGAGCTTTGGAGCTTAAGGCAAGAATGTATCTGAGTCCATATGGAAATGAGGCTCCTACTGTGGAGTAGCCACTGGGCCAGCCTCTGAAAGGAGATCTTCAGAAGGACTTAGCAGTGGATGCTAGTGATATCATGAAATCAGCCCAAGCAGATATGGACTGCAGATGGTTCCTATGATTGGGTTATGTTCAGCAACTGAGCTGTCTCAGGCCCAGCTTTTCCTTTTCTTGCCTGTCCATCAATAATTGCCCGGGTTCCTGCCTGTCTGTGGGGTGGATCAGGAGGCTGGAGAATGTGTCAAATACAGGATAGACATATACCAGGGTGATCTCGGTAAAAGATAACAGCAGAACCATCTATTCTGAAGTATTTCCCAGACTCTGCATGTCTTGAAATGAACCAGTAATGCTTGGACAGAAACCTCAGCACTGTTTACATGCAAAACTCTTCTCTGATTTAATAGGAAACATGTCTGATTTTGACTTCTGAAAACATGTGTTAACAAAATTACTTCCAGCAGACCAAGCCAGCCCCAGAGAGAGAGAGTCTGAACTCATGGTCTTCTGAAGATGAGAAGAGCTGGTCAGAGAGCTCTGTGGGCAGCCAAGAAGCATGGCTGTGATGATCCAGGGTCATTCAGGATCTGTGAGGTGATGGTCAGGAGAAGAGTGCTCTAAAAGTAAAGGACTTAAGGTAATTGTGGTATGGGCTTCAACTACACAGGAGTATCTGGTAACCTGGGGTGTTGGAGTTGGTCTTACCTTCCCTGGAACAATTTTTATTGATTTCTGGATCCTAGAGTTTTCATTTCAGGAAGGAGGGCAATTTCTGGCAAGCAGTGATGGTCTTGGATTGAGACTAGAGAGACCTGGGTGCAAACAGTAACAGGCTTGGTCCCGTGGAGTGGCTATCTTAGTCTTAGTTTGCATTGAGATGTTGGGGATGGAACCCAGGGCCTTGCAAATGCTAGGCGAGCTGGGGTTTATCCAGACTGAGGGATTCTAGTGAGTTGGTGGAAAGAATTCACCTTTAAGACAACAGAAGAAAAAAAGATAAGCTTATTTGGTAATACACTTCTGGAAAGCCTCAGGCATATGGCACTGGGCAGGGCAGGGAGTGTCCAGTTTGGAAGAGTCCATGTTGATTTGGTTAGAAGAGCCACTTTGCATTAATTTTCCAGCAGTAATTCCCATCATGTAAGTGAAGGCAGTCCTTATTGGTTGGTGTTCGGTCCTTGGCAGTTGTTAGGGTAAGCACTGTGCATGTATTTTAGGGTTAGCCACTGCGCATATATTTTCTTGGTGTGTGATTCTTGCCATGCAGATGAGGGCAGCTGTGTGGTGTATGGAGTTGTGGCTTTACCCCTTTGTTGCTCCACTGTTTGGGTGAAACCCAGCCATGTTTGGTGGGGTTTTTTGGTTTGTTTTCTGTTTTGGGGATACTTTCTGAGCAAGTTTGGCACTGGAAACTTTTCTGGTTGCTTAGTCATAGCCCCTCTCCCCAAACATTGATTAACCTAAGAGTCACCCTGGGAACTTCTGCACCCATGGCTGCCCAGTTTGTATCCTGCAGCCAGGACTGTAGGAAGCTCTGGGTGTGAGGCTGATGCCTGGAGAAGCCCTGGTCACGTTAGACAATGCCACTTCACAGCTCAGTGCTCACTGGAAAGAGGGAATCTGTTGTCTGATGAAGACTGGGGGAGAGTACATGCATGGTGCTCCATCACCGCCCAGCTCGTGGGAAATGCTGGACAATGCCCAGTCTACGTCACTAACTCAGAATCTACATTCAAATAAAATTCTTGAAATGCAATCAGGGTGTCTCTCATATCTACTGAAAGGAAGGCAGGCAGGTTTATTTGAAACAGACAGACTAAGCCTGCAGTGATGTTGCAGAGAAGTTGAGTGAGAAAGCTGAATTTCTGAGTATCCCTGGACTTGGCCTCCTGAGGACAGCCACCGCGGCTGCCAGGCTTCCTCAGACCTGCAGGCGCAAGCCATCCATTTGAAATGGCAGGTGCTTTTCATTCACTTTCGTTCATTCCTTTCTTCCTTTCTCTTTAATCTCTCTGTGCATGATATGGGTGCTTTTGTGATTTGTGGTGTGTGTATGTGTGTGTGTGCGCGCACATTCACATTTCGTGAAACACACACAGAGGTCAGAGGACAGCTTCAGGTGTCCCTCCTTGCTTTCCATCATGTTTAAGGTGGTGGTGGCAGTGGTGGGGGTGAGAGTGTGTGTGTCTCTTTGTAGTTCCCACTTAGTATTCCAGGCTTGCTGGGCCCCGAGCTTCCAGTCCGGCTTTTATGTCGGTTCTGGGATTTGAACTCAGGTTCTTATGCTTGCACAGCAAGTCTTTTACCCACTTAGCCATTTTTTTTTCAGTCCTTCTTTCACTTTCAATTGTTTATTCTCTGATTCTCCGTCTTTGCTGCCAGGCTATTGAGATAAGTATTAAAATGTGATCCTATCAGGGCTGGGGATGTGGCTTCCTTAGCGTGAGGGAAGGCACTGGGTTTAATGCCTATCATCAATCAGCAAATACAAACCTGAAAAGTAAAATAGATAACTGGCTGGGGAGCTAGCTCAGTTGATAATTGAGTCCCACTTTTGGGTACCTTGACCTTGGTATGGACTGAAAGGTCACCTACACTCTAGGAACCAGTAAAATTGCTCTGCCCGACAGGAACTGCTAGCCAAAATCACAATGTAAATTCCAAGTAGAATTGACTCTCTGCCTCATTCCAAGAAGTGGCCTTCCTAGGACTCAGTGCCATGTGGGCTGGAGGCTCCCATGTGGGGCTTAAGGATAGACTGGTGTGTCCTGCATGCCAGTCTCCTGCATAGGAGCAAGGGTGTGTCAAGATATAATCTAGTACAGGGGAAAGGAGAGAGCGGCAGAAATCTGGGACAAGCTTGGGACCTGGAGGTAGACCTAACCTCACTACATGACCTTCACCTGCCCTTTGGGGTGGCCTTGTCCCTCTTCTCATCATCATCTCATGACAAGCCAGGTTTTCACTGAAAACGGCTGGAAGGAGTGAGCACGGGGTCCTCCAGGGTGCTGGATGTACAGGCCCTACATGCCCCGAGCTCCTGAGATTGAGGGACCAGCAGTCTTCCCTTTGGCCATCAGTGTGAGCTGACCCAGGCTCTTGAGTCGGGGTTTTGAACTAAGACAATGTCTTTGACACAGTGTCCCATGGGAATAGAATACCTTCCTCCTATTTCTTAGGCTCACCAGACATTTATAGGGGTAACTGGAGAGCCGGTCAATACTTTCCCTCATTTACAAATGGAGAAAATAAAGCCACAGAATAAAGAAGTAGGTGCCTGACAAAGTGGGCACTAGCTGTCAGAGCTGAAAATCACACCGCCCTTGACCACTGTGAATCAGCTTCTGGGGATTTACTCAGCTGCGTGAGCCCAGTTGTTTATTGCAACATTGGTTATGATATTGAATAATTGGAGCAGTTATCCCTCTGTGTATGTGTAGGAGAGTGGGTTTAGTGAATTGTGTCACAGTTGTATAATATTACAAAGGCCAGAAAACCATAATTTGAGATTTGCATATCCTGGCATGGAAAGGTGTCTGTGGTGGTCTGAATAAGAATGGCCCCCACAGGCTCATATGTTTGAGTGTTTGGTCCCCAGTTGGTGGAACTGTTTGGGAAGGATTAGGCAGTATGGCCTTGTTGGAGGAGGTGTATCACTGGGGGTGGGCTCTGCCTTGTGCTTTGTGGATCAAGACATGAGCTCTTAGCTCCTGTTTCAGCACCATTCCTGTCTGCTGCCATGGTCCCCACGATGATGGTCATGGACTCTAGCCCCCTGGAACCATGAGTCCCAAATTAAACTCTTTCTGTTATAAGTTGCCTTGGCCATGCTGTTTAGGTCATGGCAATAGAAAAGTAAGACAACATCTAAGGCATATTAAGTGAAAACTTAAGATCTGAAGTTTCAAATAGGTAGATGACGCTTACCTTCAGTTCCCGGAACTGACCCTCATATGCGCCAGATGACACTTTACTACTGTCTCCCGAGCTATATGCCTAGTCCTATTTTTCTTTTCTTTTTTTAGACAGGGTTTCTAGGACAGCGCTGGCTCTGAATTAGCTCTGTAGACCAGGCTGGCCTTGAACTCACAGAGATCTGCCTGCTTCTGCCTCCCAAGTGCTGGAATTAAAGGCGTGCGCCACCACTACCTTGCCCCCTATTTCCTTTTGGAGACAAGACCTCACTAAATTGTATGGGATGGCCTTGTAATCAGGCTGTAGCCCAGGCAGGCCTTGAGGTTGTAATCCTGGGACCACAGAGCTGTGCCACCAGGCTTGGCCATTTGAGTCATTTACTCATTGATGTGTTTGTGGTGTATGTGTGTTCACAGGTCTGCAGCACATATCCCTGTGTGTACCTATAAGGCCAGAGATCCACATTGGGGTGTCTTCCCCTATATTCTGCATTTTATTATTATTATTTGTTTGTTTATTTTAGATAGTCTCTTCACTGGACTCGGAGCTTGCCATATTGGCTAGGCTTTGTGGGGATCTGCCTGTCTACCTTTCTGGCTAGGATTACTCCCCCACCAGATGGTTCTCTACTGTGTGGCTCTTGAAATCAGGCAGTCAGGCTTAGCCATGAGTGAGAATTACTGGCTGTCCTCTGACCTCCATGAGTGCCACGGCACACGTGACCACAAGTTTATGTCTGCGCACAATATAAAAAAATAAATAAAAAACCTGTTAGGATAAAAGAGAAAAAGCAGCCGTCGGAAGCTGTACACTCAAAGCGCCTTTTTATGAGGAGCTAAAGGGTGGGTTAGTCTTGAATGGAGCATAGAACGTGTTTAGAGGTGCACAGACAAGGCTCTAGAAGAGGCAGCTCTGGCCCAGCAGTGGTGACACACTTAACTCCAGCACTCAGGAGGCAGAGGTGTGTGGGTCTCTGAGTTGGAAGTCAGCCTGGTTTATAGAGTGAATTCCAGGACAGTCAGAGCTACATAGAGAAACCCTGGGGGGTGGGAGGCAGCTCTGAAGATACCCTGGGGGTGTTTGTGTTGAGCCTGGGCCCTATGGCTACGTGAGCCTGTGATAACTGGTGACGTGCTGCAACCAGTGCTCTGTTGAGGTGAGCTAGATACCAGCTAAGTGTGTGACAATTCCACGAGATAGGATTGTATCCTAGGGCTCCAAACTCACCATGTAGCTGAGGATAATCTTGAATGTCTGATTCTCCTGCCTCTGCCTCCCAAGTGCTGGAATGACAGGCGTGAACTCCACAGCAAGTTTATGTGGTGCTGGGGATTGAACCTCTGGCTTCACATAGCCAGGCACGCACTCTACCAACTGGGCCGCCTCCCAGTCTTTCCCACCATGTCTCATCTTGATGTTTGTTTGGCTGGTCTGCTGCCTCCTGGATGCTTGTCCTACTGTTTGGAGAGCACACTGTGCTTTTTTTAACCTATTTCATGGAGTGCCTACTCTACTTCATCTCCTCCCTGCTTCCTGATGGTCTTTTAAGATCTAGTCTGTACACCTGCTTTTCTTCCTCCTCTTCCTTTGTACCAAGAATCCGTCAGTGTTCCCATGATGCCTTGCGCTCAGCTTCTGCAGTCCTATGCTGCCCAGCACTCTGCACCAAGCCGTGACACTGTCTGTAACTATTGTTCTCCTCAGCTCTGGAGCTTTTCACGG